GGCACTGGGAAGGTGAATGCTTTGTGATTGGCAGGTCAGACTGGATGAGGTGGGTATTGCACTCTGGGGCCTTTTAAAATAGACCAGCTTTGTCTGTTTGTTTTCGTTTTTTATGAAGTAAGCTCTGTGCCCAGTGTCGGGCTCAAATTCATGACCCCCAAGATCAAGAGTCACATGCTCTATCAACTGGGCCAGCCAGGCGCCCCTAGAGCAGACCTGTGTTTTAAATCACCTCCGCTGCCCAGCCTCATTCCCCACCTCTCTCCACACAAGGGGCAGGCACCCTGGCTCCTGACTCCTACCACTACTAGGCTACTCTGGAGCCAGGAGCAGAGGAAGGATGGCTGCCTCCCTCACAGAGACGTCTGCACACCCCTGCCACGCAGGGCACCAGGAGGGGCATGAAATGATTCCAAGAAAAGGGAAGAAGGTGGCAGGACGACATGAGAGGCGTCAGGAAGGCAAAGGGCAAGGAAAGGACTTTAAGCTTGGTTTATACACTTTCACTCATTTCTACCGAAAAGCAGTAAAAAATTTAAAAATCACATCTTGGACCTGGTCATTTCACTCACAGGCATCAAGACTGGGGAAGTATCTGTAAAGCATGTAAGGATAATAACGATTAGTATTTACTGAGCACTTAATGTTTTCTATCCAGAGATGGGATTGACTGAACGAATCCAAAATCAACACACGAGGACAGTGCTATTATTATTCCCGTGAAATAGGTGAGGACTTGGAGGCACAGAGAGGAGAAGTAGTTTGCCTTAGGTCACACAGCCAGACAGCAGTGGAGCAAAATTCAAACCCTGGTCGTCTGACTCCAGAGCGAACACTGTTAGTCATGACATTAGGCCATAGCCATTCTTAAAATTTTTTTTTTTAACGTTTATTTATTTTTGAGACAGGGAGAGACAGAGCATGAACAGGGGAGGGTCAGAGAGAGGGAGACACAATATGAGGCAGGCTCCAGGCTCTGAGCTGTCAGCACAGAGCCCGACGCGGGGCTCGAACTCACGGACCGCGAGATCGTGACCTGAGCCAAAGTCGGCCGCTCAACCGACTGAGCCACCCAGGCGCCCCAGGCCATAGCCATTCTTAAATAGAGAAGATGGTAAATTTTGGTGAGGCTTACCATAGGACAGCGTGCTGTAATTAAAATTTATACAGGTGTATCTCCTTTTATTGTGTCTTGCTTTATTGCACTTTCCAGATACTGCATTTTTTTACAAACTGAAGGTCTGTGGTGACTCTGCCTAGAACAAGTCTATTGGGGCCACTTTTCCAAAAGCTTTTGCTCACTTGTATCTCTGTGTCACAGTTTGGTACCTCTTACAATTTTTCAAACTTCTTCACTAATATTGTTTTAATATTGTAATATTATCTTCATTAATATAGATCATGGTGATCTGTGACCAATGATCTTTTATGTTACTATTGTAATTGTCTGGAGCAGCACAAACCATGCCCCTGTCTTATAAGACAGCCGACTTGATAAATGTGTGCATTCTGACCTCTCCACCATCCAGCCATTCCCATCTCTCTCCCTCTCCTTGGGCCTCCCTACTCCCTGAGACACAGCCATATTGAAATCAGGCCAAGTGACAACCCTACGATGGCCCCCTAAGTGTTCATGTGAAAGAGTCGCCCGTCTCCCATCTTCAATCAAAAGCTAGAAATGATTAAACTTAGCGTCGAAAGCCAAGATTGTCTGAAAGCAAGGCTTCTTATTAGGAAGTTGTGCATGCAAAGAAAAGTTCTTGAAGGAAATTAAAAGTGCTCCTACAGTGAACACATGAATGATAAGAAATCAAAACAGCCTTATACATGGAGAAAGTTTGAGTGGTCTGGATAGAAGATCAAACCAGCCACAATATTCCCTAAAGCCAAAGTCTCCTGTTAGGGGCTACTGCAGCTGGTGACTTTGAATGGAAGCCAGCGCTCATCTAACATTCCAGAGGTCCTCAGGCCCTTAAGAATTAGGCTAAATCTACTCTGCCTGTACTCTATCAATGCAACAGCAAAGCCTAAATGACAGCACATCTGTTTACAAGACGGTTTACTGCATATCTTCAGCCCACTGTTGAAACCTACTGCTCAGAACAAAAAAGATTCCTTTCAAAATATTACTGCTCACTGACAATGTGCCCAGTCGTCCAAGAGTTCTGATGGAGACGAACAATGAGATTCACATTGTTTTCATGCCTCCTAACACAACTTCCATTTTGCAACCCATGGACCAAGTCATTTCAACTTTCAAGTCTTATTATTTAAGAAATGCACTTCGTAAGGCTGTAGCTACTGTACATAGTGATTCCTCTAATGGATCTGGGCAAAGTAAATTGAAAAACTTCTGGAAAGGATTCACTATTCTAAATGCCATTAAGAACATTTATGATTCATAGGAAGAGGTCAAAACAGCAACATTAACACGCATTTGGAAGAAGTTGAATCTAGTCCCCATGGATGACTTTGAGGGGCTCAAGACTTCAGTGGAGGAAGTCGTGGCAGATGAGGTGGAAACAGCAAATGAACTAGAACTATAAGTGGAGCCTGAAGAAGGGACTGAATGGCTGCAATCTCATGATCAAACTTGAACAGATGAGGAGCTGTTCTGATGAATGAGCGAAGACAGTGGTTTCTTCTTTTTTTCATTTTTTTAATGCTTATTTATTTTTGAGAGAGAGAGAGAGAAAGAGAAAGTGGGGGAGGGGAAGAGACAGAGGGAGAGACAGAATGCGAAACAGGCTCCAGGTTCTGAGCCCTCGGCACAGAGCCTGATGTGGGGCTCAAACTTGGGAACAATGAAATCATGACCTGAGCCAAAATCGGACGCTTAACCGACTGAGCCACCCAGGCATTCCAGGACAGTGGTTTCTTGAGATAGAATCTGCTTCTGGTGAAGATTGTTGAAATGACAATAAAGCATTTAGAATATCACACAATCTTAATTGATAGAGCGGTAGAAGCGTTTGAGAGCATTGACTCTAATTTTGAAAGTTCCACTGTAGGTAAAATGCTGTCAAAGAGCAGCACTTGTACAAGAAATCATTTGTGAAAGGAAGAGTCAATCAATGGGGCAACCTTCACTGTTGTCTTATTTTAAGAAATTGCCACAGCCAGCCTAGCCTTTGGCAACCACCACCCTGATCAGCCAGCAGCCATCAACATCCAGGTGAGAACCTCCACCAGCAAAAAGGTGATGCCTTGCTGAAAGCTCAGATGATGGTTAACATTTTTTAGCAGTATTTTTAAATTAAGGTGTGTAGTCTGTTTCTTAGATATAATGCTATTGCACACTTAGTAGACTGTAGTATAGTGTAAACATAACTTCTATATGCACTTGGAAACCAAAAATTAATTCAACTCACTTTGTGATATTCGAGTCCTCATAGTTGTCTGGAACCCAGCCCGCCAAATCCCTGAGGTATGCCTGTATTTATAAAGAATATTTTAATAAAATGTGGACTTACATTAAAATATTTTAGGAACACAAAATTATACATATTATGATCTCCACTTAAAAATTCCTTTTTAGAAAAGAACCTAAAGGAATATATAT